CTTTGGGCCCCACAAAGAGCACCCGGTCCCCACGAGGCTGCATTTTCCTTAAAACTGGGCCCCACGATGTAGGAAAACCAAGGCCACCCCCCCACACACACACACACTTATTTTTTTTACTGCTGTGTTGCTCCTCACAGATTTGAAGAACAGCCTGTTTCCTTGTGTGTGGTCGTGTCCCGAGCTGGACCCCGAAGAGCTGAGTGCCTTTACAGATCTGTACGGGCCTCTCAGGTTTCTACTGACTTTTCAGGTGATCCCAATCTTCCACTTTATTAGACTTGATTGTACCTACTTTGTGTGATAATCGACATGTTAAGCGTTAAGTGTTTGTTAGGGGCACAAAATGTCTTAAATGTCAAGTTTCTAGTTGCTATTTTTTAACTAAGACAAATCAAATCTTAGCCTTAGCCTGGCACTAACGTGTTTCTTTCCTTGCAGGCAAAAGATGCAGGACATTGCATGTCGAAGTGGCAAGCTCACATTGAGGCATTTCTACGGGCTTTCAGTTTGACTAACGCAGGGGTATGCAAAGATTTGCTTCAGTGTTCAGTCATCTGTAGAGATAATAAGAAAATATTGATTTGCACTTTGATATCATACAGATAAAGGTCCATCTCAAATTCACATTTGGTCAGCAGACCGTACAACATGAACTCAGGTAAGCCTCGATGGAAAACAGTCACAGCTTCCAGTGAGGTAATGTCACAAAAATACTATATTATTTTACTTTTACACTAATTTGCTTGAATTATCATAATCTGCATAACTATTTTTTGTTGTTTTTTCTAACCTTTGTTATCCCACCACTCCCCTTCTTTTTTCTGCATTGAATCAATTAATTTATAAGCAACACTGCTTTTCTAACATATAATGTTAATAATTTGGTTCCTATCTCTGCAGAGTCAAAATCAAGAGTAAAGTTTCACCAACAGACCAGCTGCCTCTGATCCTGGATGTTGCCTGTTCTGCACAGTCAGTAATTGCGTTTTAACACTGTTTATGTGCTTTTCTAGACATTCACTTTTCTGAAAGAGCATCAGAGTATCAGCTGCACATGACACAAGCACAGTATGCTCAGTGTTGTCTCTCCTTTAAAGGCCTCCGTGGTGTGTCAGGAGAAGAGGCTGGTGTCAAGGAGGACATCCTGTTGTTGGAGAAAGGTTGCCTCTCAGCATCCCACCACAAGTCATGGATCAGGGCCTGTTTGGGGAGCTCAGTGTCCAGTTTGTTGCACTCCTGAGACCGTGTGTGCTGCAGTACCCCAACCTACTCACAGAGCTGACACGCATACAAATATCCTTTTCCTCATTTTACTATGATTCTGTTTCAGTGTTCATGGAGAAATGAGTAGTGGAAAATGACTCAAGAAATGAAGTCATTGTCTATGCTTTCTAATTTTGCCGTTGCTCGGCTGTTTTAATGGCACAAAGACTTCCGGTGAACTGGTCTTAAATAGGAAAACAGAGACGAGCTCGGTCACCTCACAGCTGAAAGCCTTGGCTCTCTGCCAGAGGGTGTTGAATGGCTCCCTTCGGATTCACACACAGGAGGAGCTCAGCTCCTCTGGTTCATAGTCATGAGTCAGAGAGATTGCTGAGTCATGCTTAGACGGAACTAGTTTATGAAATATGTCACCCTCCCACATTTGTAGTGAAACATATCATGCCACTAGCATTTTACAATTATTAAATTATTTATAATGAAATGGATTACTATAAATCAAAGTGTTAAACACATTTTTTACACACAGTAATAGTTTTTTTGTTTATACATGCCATTGTTCACAGCTGTCCAGTAAAAACAACCCAGTTAAAAAGGTTTCTCACAACAAACCATGTGGTTTAACAGCGGGATCATTTGGACTCTTTACATGCATAAATGAGATGGTTTTTTCCCAGAGTTTCCAAACTTTTTGAGGTCTTCAGACATTTTTTTATGACGCGTTTCGGTACAAAATGCCACAGATATAATGAACAACAGCAGCCATTTCAACCGTAAATTTACGGCTCTTTGTAGCTTTCGGTTTCCGTGGTTGCAGTGAGAAACTCAGCTGAACCCTATTTGCTGGTGGTACCCCACGCCTGGATTTTTAAATGTCCTCTGGGCTTTTAATTTGAAGTCAGACTGGATAGTGGTTAAATTATTCTGCTGGAAAATACGACACCCTTCAAGAAGCTTTCAAGTGCTGAACAGATTTAAATTAAAAAAATCAGAAAATAACTAATGGATGTGCATCTAAAATATGACTGATCTGAAAAGCTACAACAATAATAATCATATTTATGCATTAGTGCTTTCTTGGATACTCAAACATGCTTTACATTATTCACACACTGATGTCTATAACACAGACAGTTTTACAGATGTTGGATAGAATTTGTTTTAATAGTAACAAAATATTAGTTCAAGTGAAAACACATCTTTTGTGTGTGGCAGAGCATATCTCATAAGGTCAATCCAGCACATCTCAGACTGTTTGAAAAATACTCGATTTGCAATTTTATTCCCACGTCCTTTATCTGAGGTTTGATCAGGAATGGTTGGTAGTCGTCTCTCTCTTTGACGCAATCTTGTCACCTGTCTTTTCTTAAACTGGTTCTCTTTGGTGGACAAAATATGAAAATTTCCAAAACCTGACCCTGAAAAAAGGAAAATTATAGCAGTGAAAAGTCTGATTTCTGCTATTTTTGTTGAACATCCTCAGCTCAAGTCCATCTGAAGTCGGGTGAACCTAATAATTGTTGGTCACAATTTGGTTTCGGCAACAGAACCAAATGCAAACGAGTTTTAACTTCCCACTCCTGAGGTGGAAAGAGGTTTAAAGTTTCAGTTGGAGGAGATTGGGAAGCTTGATCATTTTACTGTGAGGTGCGTTTGTAATGTTTTGTACTTTTTTTAAATGGCTCATCTAAAGAGTTATTACAAAAAACGGATCATTTGTGTTTGATTTAAAAGGGACTTTAAATCTTGTTGCACAGTTTTAAAGAAAAAATACATCATTTCTTTCTCTTGTCTTATTTTCTAAAAGAAAAGCTCTTTATGTGCTTCTTTTTTTATAGTCACTGAGCTTTATAATGAGCAGAAAATAAATTGTTTATAAAAAAAACCCAATTTATAAATCTTACAACAGACACGACACTGATGGAGGTGGATGAGCAACTTGGATACTAATCCTCGACCGGCTGCTGCTCTTTGGTGACTGAGTTGATTTGGCCATCTGTTTTAAATTAGTCGTCCTTGACTTAACATGTTTTCAGGTGCTAACATACAGCCCCAGCAATATTCCTGTGCCAGGTCCATTTAACTTCTTCAAAGGCCTTCCTGCTGCTCTGAACTGTCAGCAGTTAGGTCTGGACAGAATCCACTGCGCCTCTTTTAAAGGTAAACAACAAACACTGCTGGGAACAGCTCGTACTGACGGCCAACATGCGGTGTAGGTCAGCAGCTTGAGGGCCCTGTTTTGTAATAAACATGTGGAAATTGGGTGGGATGGATGTTCTGGATATTTCATTCTATCTTGTAAAAACGCCGACTAAAGCAATTAAAACAGAACTGTTTCCCAACGACTGGAGGGTCTGAGCTTTTGAGGGTTAAATTCCTGAAAAAACCACATGTTTATCTGTGAGAGACTGTGCACGGAGCTCAAGTAGTGGAAAAAAATGCTTTAATGAATCCCATAAGCTCATAATTATGACGAAAGAACAACAAACAGACAAGTAAAGAATGTAAAATACATTTAAAGTGATTACATGTGGAGAGAAGATTTTATTTTTGGTAGTAGCTCACATTTACCTTCAAGCTGGAAATGTTCTCATTACCATGTGAAAACCCATCTTGAATGAATTCGGTTCTTGTGCCTCTGGTTTAAATTTGGTGATGAATTTACAGAATATTCTCAGCATAGACATGTTAGTGAAGACAAGGAAGCCACCAGTCTCTTCATACTCGCCTCTCACAACTTGACAGAGCTCCATGTTTTTGTAAAGTCATGTTATTGCTGAGTTTTGGGGAGGAGCATTGTTTCCCTTGGCTCATTGGTAATGTTAGTGTAACGACATCATCACAATAAAATGGTCAGATGCTGATATTAAACATGACAGATGTTCTCCATGTTCGCTCTCTTATTTTATTAGACTTGTGGGTATTCAGATATAAAGCAAAGTATGTTGTACACTGTCAGAGGAACCACAGAGAGAACGTTATTTGGACTTCGAGGAAACACTGACTCAAGAAGGCATGGTCTAAAACAGTGTTTCCCAAAGTTGGGGTCAGGACCCAAAGTCGGGTCCCAAAACATCAAGCTGGGGTCATGAAAATATTTTCTGAATTAATTACATTTTTGCCTTAGTTGTTACAAAGGAGTGATGTTAGTATATTTAAAATGGATAAATGTAGTATAAAAATATTTTTACTATGCCCATGTTTTGTTGACCTGATACAAATGTTTATCATCCAAAAATAGCTGGGGGCACAGGTCTCTGCTGTTGTTATTTTGTGGGTCAAAAGCTGAAAAGTTTGGGAACCACTGCACTTTGGTTCCCAAAGTTGGGCTTGGGACCCAATTATGGGTCATGAAACACCTTGGATAATCTCCAGAAATCAATTTAAAGGGTAATAAAATAATTGCTGATGCAATATTTTTCCCTATAATTATTACAAAACACAAACTAAGTATAAATAAGTATTTATATTTATGTACAAGCTGTTTAAATTGTCAAAAAAGCCTGTATTTTTAGGGTTATTAACGAAATTTGTGTACTCAGACCAGTAAAATTTGGGGTCACAAGATTTTTCCATGGATATTTTGTGGGTCAGAAGACAAAAAGTTTGGGAACCACTGGTCTAAAATATAAACATAGCTGCTACACATCCGTTTTCTTTACCCGCTTGTTTTAGTTCAGGGTTACAGACAGTCCAACATGTATGATTTTAGTTCCTGGGAGGAAACCCACACATGCACGAAGAGAACATGCAAACCCCACAAGGAAAAGCCCCAGGTGGGAGTTGAACCTACAACCTGCCTGCTGTGAGGAAACAGAACTGTTCCACAGTGCAGCTCTCAGCTACACAAACTTCAGTTTTAGTTGCTGTATGTCAGAGAAATTCTGTCACATTTGTTTACTAAAATAAGCTCTAAAAACCAAGGAGACAATGATGTAACTAAACACTGTTAAGAGTTTTGGATTTCAGTTCAAAAACAAAGCAATTAGGTCAAATGTTATTTTTTGAGATTATGTGATTGACACGCAGTGACTTAGCCCTCAAACATGTCATCTTAAAAATACTACACAAAAAGTAAGGAAGTTTGTGTTTGGGAGATTATTTCTTTGTTGTAACATGAGCCGCTGATTGGCACCTTGGGAAACCAGACGCTCAAAACAAGTGTTAACAACAACAAAACAAGTTGTTCGGCAAATTTTCATGTGCGCATCCCTCATATTCAGCTCTACTGCTCATCCCACAAATGCATGTTCCTTACAAATGTGGCACCATTTCAAAGAGAAATTAACAGGTTTTCCAACAGTATAAGATTTATTGCCAAGAAGCATTGTTACAACAATAAAATAATCTACCAAACACAAATCTCCTTACTTTTTGTGCCAAGTTCATTTTCATTATTTGTTCATTTTAATTTTGTTTTATAAATCTTGCTCTCGTCTCATGCAGATCTCACTCACAGCAGCAGCGTTGTGTACTCTGTGGAGCCAGAAAACTGGGAGGATCCCGATCCGGAACCAAGTCATGTCCCTGTGCAGCAGAGTCTCCTACTCTTCCTCTTCTTACATCATAGTGACCCCTTCACCTCTGAGGTCAATGATACGATTGGTGAGAAAGCCTTACAGCGTGTGTGAAAAAGAAACACTGCTGATGTGTTCTTCTAACTGTTCTGCTACATTTAGTTTTCCCTAAAAGATGAGTTACTGTTCTTGGCTGCCTATTCCTCGTATTCCAGCTAACATAAACAGTCAATTCTGTAAGGCTGAGAGATATTTTATTATAAATACCTTCGTGTTTTCTTTTGCACTAAGGCTTTTTGATTGTCTTGTTTTATAAAACAGTAAACCATTTTCCTTTCCTAAATCCACTCCCTTCAAGGCTGCGCCTTTTTTTTTTAGTTCAGTCTAACCAGGATAATAACAATGCTGCCTTTGAAGGTGAGCGTCAAGGAACAGCATGTACAGAAAGATGAGAGCTTGAACCTGTGATCTCCTCACAGCTGCAGAGATGTTAATAGAGCATCACCTGGAGGAGATTCTGAGCAACAACAGGCAGGCTGTCAGCGCAGCTCTGGAGGCAGAACTTTACAACACGCTGAAAGCACAAAATCACAGGAAAAAGGTAAGACATAAACAAATACACACACAAACCCTGTTTTATTTTAACAATCTTGACTAGAGTTTTAACCGTAGTTTTATTAATTGGTCACAAAGAATAATAAAAATGAACATATCAAAGTTGTCACTTTAAATATCGGGTTTTTTGTAATGCAACAGAAATGAGATGTAAGTTTGGGTTTGGAGTGAGAGGTAAGCAACATATTATTAAATATATTTCTGAAAGGCAATTCTCAGCAACCACTCACACTAAAAATACTCACAAATATAGCAATTAATAACAAGTATAAAATCTGTTTTGATTTTAGAAACAAGAAAAGCTGCAGTCGGCTGCAGAAGTGATTCTCAGTTCCACCATCAGTATTGTGAGCAGCAGCAGCAACATGGATTTCAGAAATGCCTGTTTGAACCGCATGAAGGTGTGAGAAAAAAACAGTGACTTCAGATATTTCATACGATTTCTGTGATTTAAAAAAAAACAAAATAATCTGACATGTTTACACACTTTGTGTTTGTCAGGTGAATGACACTCATGAGTTGTCTGCCTCTCTCAGAGAGTCTCTGTGGAGGGTGACATCAGGGAAATTTCTTCACAGTGGCAAATGCTTTTCTTCTGAGGTTAGTGAGGTATTTGTTTTCCAACACAAACTGATGTGCATCAGAGTTTTTGCTGCAATCTACAGTCACATTATTATTTCTACAGGTGGAAGAACAACCCAAGAGTAATGAGTCTACCAGGGTGGAAATCTGAAGATGCCAATGTTTTTTTTTCTTTCCTGACTGAAGGTGGTTCAGAGATTAAAATGTTTTTGCCCTGAAAAGGTTTAGTTTATATACTGTAACCCTTATTTCAATTGTACTGATTATATATATATTTATATATGCACAACACAGTTCACACTGTAAAGAGTCTAAATGGACACATCTAAATGATAGATTTGTGAAAATTTTCTAAATTGCTTTCTGTTTTCTGAATAAACTATTTAGTGTATAAACATAATGTATTTGTAATAAAGAGTGTAACTGGTTTGAATTTGGAGTTGCAATCACTTCAGGGTGTTGGGTCAGGTCAGCAATTTTCATATTGCTTTTGAGAGTATTAAACTGTTCAAATGTTGAAGCACAAACGAGCCCATAGACTTAAACTTTTATTTTGAAACTCAGCTGACTTCCGCTCTTTTATTCGTATGTTGTGACGTACATTCCGGCCGCCAACACTGACGGCCATTTTTCGCGGTAAAATGGAATAGGTATTAAATGTTGAGCGGATCTCTTACAATGCGCTTTCATGAAACACTTAGGATATAGTTATTGGGGGTGGCTAACGTTTCGAGAACGAGTTTTTTTTTAATAATATGGTTTTTGAAGTTGTTATGAAGCGAAGGTTAAGCTAACGCTATTCGCTAAAGTATCATAACATTGTTTCATCGTGTTGAGGTAGACCTCTGCTTTAAAAAAAAAAAAAACGACTTATTTTTATTAATCCGAAATGGCGCTCTCTAATGCACAAAGCTTAAAGAAAGAACTGGAGGTGTTTGGTTTTCCCTGTGATGATGAAATCATTGATAAAAGTGAGTATTTTACCTAACTTGATAATAGTTCTTTATTTTATTTATCTTTTGTGGTCCTATATGTGTGATGTGACTTAATTTGTGTCTCATAACTTTGACTTCCTTGTTTGCACCTTGTGCCATGTTTTTAATGAATGCATCTAATGCTCATGGATCTCTGTCTACAGACATTTTTCCTGTCACGATAAACTTTTATTCTGAAATTCTGCTGTGTGTTTCTATCCAGTCAGTGCAACAAAGTGCTGGATCATTAGATCTGCAGAACGTTATTTACAGTTTAAAGCCCTTTAATTTAAAGTTGTGTTTACTTCATTATATTTGTTGACACTTATTTAAAGATATGACCTAATGCTCCTTCTTTCTGACGTGTCCCACAGTGATGGAACAGTGCATCTGTAGAGGGTTGCAGGCAACTGAGATGGCGGATGAGTGGGTGGCTTACAGTAACACAAAAAATATTTCTAATCTCACCTTGGACACCTTGGAGCAATTTGAGCATGAGGTAAGGAACGTGCAGGTGCTGAAAGGCGAAGAACTCAATTTTCTTGAACGCTAGTGAGGACGATGGTGGCATAGCACAACTTTTTAAGTAATCTAACGAATGCTGAATATCTCACACTAACCAACTTTTTTTTAAATATTTCTAAACATATGGCAATATGTGTCTAAAACTTTATTTTGTTGTCTGTGTCACATGTAGATTGGATTATTTTTTTATGTGTGAAACTTCCTTCACCCCTTTTCTACTGTCCTCTGAACTTTTATTTTGGCAGGTCTTGCTCAAGAAGAACAAATCTAAATTAAACTCAAGAAGAGATGATACTTATAACAGACCCTTGGACATCAACTCTATACAGACCCTGTATCCTTAAGAGCAAACTTAAAAAGAAAATGATCCTTTCACCTCACATTAGTAATCACAATGATTTCTGTAGTGTGTGATCTGTAGACCTTGACCAGTGTTTTTCCAGAATAAATGAAGAAATAGAGGAGGAGACTCTTCTAGACTCTTATTCTACTCCTGCAAAGGTAAGCAAAAACTTTTCTCACAGGTAACTCTGCTATTAAATCAGTGCATTGCTCACATGTTTGCTCTAAAGTGTAGAGTGTATGATCTGTTTTTTTTATATTAAAAAGTATTGCTCTATAAATTAGTCATGGTGCTGAATATTCCACTGTATTAATTTGTTTGACATGTATAAACGTGTCCGTAGGGCTCTCAGAAACGAGCACTTAGCACTCCAGAGCATCCTCAGCCTAAGCGGAGTGTAGCTCTGCTGTCCAGCCCCAACCTGCTGCTGTCTCCGACCAGCTTCTCCCCGGGGTAGGACGCACAAATACCGCTTCAACTTCAAATGTTTCAAACGTTTGATTTAACTGTAGCCCTTCTTCTCATCTCTCTCTGGAAGTGCTACGCCCTCACAGAAGTACAGCCAGCGAGGAGGGAAAGGGGAGGTGGTGGCAACGTTTGGGGCCGTGCAGGGCACCCGTTGGGTGGGCAGGAAGGATCCCGGTGCCGGGGTCCAGGTGGAGCTTCTGGGACCACCTGAAGAGTCTCTTCGCTGCAGCTACAAATTCATGTTCCAGAGACTCAGGGACGTTCGAAATGGTAAGAATCATTAGAATTATAAATGTGTTAAAAGTCATATATTGAGCTTTTACATATAAATTGTTTTGTTTTTTCCGTTTGTTCAGTGCTGACAGAGAAGATTGAGGATTTGGGACAAATCCTGAAGTCTCATTTTACCATTGAGGAGTTCTCCTCTGCCTCTTTGCCTGCTCAGGTTTGGAACAATTACTGCTGCAAAACAATGGTTTAATGCGTTTTAACTTTTATTCTAACATTTATAAGTTATAGATACCCTGTTCTCTGGAAGAGTCTCAAAAACACTTGATTTCTTGCAGAAGCTGAAACTCTGTTCTGTATCATTTGCAACCAGACAGGATTTTACCAAGAACAACAATCAGCACCGAAGTCGGTTAATTTGTCCAATAAATAATCAACTGACTGTTTGTTTTGTTGTGTGTTTGTCCTCAGGACAGTATAACTGTGTTGGGTCAGATTTGCTGTGACAGTAACGGCAAACTGAACCCTCAGTCCGTTGTCCTGGAAGCTGAAGTCGAACACGGCGGTCAGCAGGTTCCTGTTGACCTGTCTGAGCTTAAAGAGTATTCTCTGTTTCCTGGTCAGGTAAAGGGAATCAAAACAAGTTGGGTTTGATCCTGTGGTCCTGTTTCTGCTCTAATAAGTTTTATGCACCACTGTTAAACACCAGCCATTACTGACATGTTGCTGTGCAGGAGTGGTGTTGATGAGCAGGTGGAGGCCGGTGGTTCTCTCCTTTGCCTGTGCACTGAGGTCAGTGTGCCGCAGGTTATATGGCCACCGAGAGGAACAGAGCATGCCAAGGACGTTAGCCTGAGACTAGCTTAGCGTCCGACCGAGAGCTCTGACAGTCGTGAAGGAGTGTTTAAACCCAGCCAGACACGCACCACATGTTTCTGCTTTAGACCCATTTCATTTTTCTGTTTGTGTTTTTGTTTTTGAACCTGAACATCTTTTTTCAGGTGGTAGTGATGGAAGGATTGAACGCTACAGGAAGAAAATTTGTGGCTTCTAAACTTTATGAGGTGAGCTTGTTTTTTTTTTTTTTTTACTTTTTAGAACCTTCAAATAGTGATCAGTTGTATGTCTTTATTCAGGGAGTTCCTCTTCCTTTTCACACCCCAGATGTAACATTGGAGGCTGATGAAGGTATTGAACTGGGTTTGTTTAAAGGAATGAATCAGCTCAGTTATTTTAATTTTTTTTTATAAAACCCACTGTCCTTCACTCTCAGAGCCACTGAACGTGCTTGTGGCCTGTGGACCCTACACGCCGTCTGACAGCCTGAACTTTGACCCTCTGCTGGACCTGATCAGTGTGATCGTCAGAGATCGTCCTGACGTCTGTTTGCTGGTAAATGTCCTGTTTACAAACCCCAACCTTCACATGATTCTGTGTTAAACCATTCTTGGTTCTGAGCTTTGTTTCTATATATTTATAAATCATTTTAAAATCTTAATGTTGAATTTTATGGCGTTACATTGTAAACCAACCTTGATCTGACTGAAAATAAAGACACTCCTTTAAAACGGCCTCACCTTTGCTATGAGAGATTAAGTTGAAGAGATTTTACTTCCTTTAAAAATATGCAGATTTTTTTATTTTAATGTTTAACACTCTGTGGTTTTATCTGAAAATGGTTCAGTTAAAAAAAAAAAGAAAAACATTTCTTTTCTTACAGTTGGGCCCATTTGTGGATTCCAAACATGAAAAAATTGAGGTACGGTTCCGTTGGCTGTCAGATTTTATTTACATTAAACTCACTTTTAAGTCTTCAAATACAAAGTCTGAACATGTCAGCAGATAACATTTACATTTAAACCAGGTTCATAAAGAATATATTATTTCTCTAACAGAAAGCTCAGGTGACAGAAACGTTTGAAACCATCTTCTTAAGATGTATTGACAGCATCGTGGATGGCACCAAAAGGTATGTTTCCTTTAAAGAAACAGTATAAAGTGTGGTATTTATTATAAACTTAGTACAAAAAGTAAGGAATGTGTTTAGTCCGTTACGTCTGTGTTGTAACGATGCTTCTTGGCAATAAATCTGACATAAATGGAAATCCTGTTTATTTCCCTTTAAATTAAACCTTTTTTTTTCTCCCCAGTGTTGGTTGTCACCTGGTGTTTGTGCCATCCCAAAGAGACATCCACCATAACTTCATCTACCCTCAGCCCCCCTTCACCCTGCCGAACCTCAGCAAGGACCAGGTGCAGGTTAAACACTCGCACACAAACAAGACTGTGTATCTGAACTAGATAAAATACTCATCACTAAGCGATTGTCAGTTTCATAACAGGCTTTAGTGAGAATTTACCAGTAAATAGATCATTTTTATACCAGAATATTATGAGTCATAATTAGAGCTGGGCGATATGATCAAAATTTTCACCGGTTTCACAGTATTTGACAGTATTTTTCTTTTCATCACAGCTCAGCTGAAAATAAAATGTACAAACCCTGCTTATTGACTTTTTTTCTTTTACTGTACCTCTGTCTGTGTCGCTGTTTCCCTCCTCTGTGTCTGTTCTTCTCTGACTGGTGGTTTTAGACAGTAGTCACGCATTTTGGTCCAGTCGTGAAGGAGGAGGGTTAAGAAAAGATTATGATCGGGTTTATTGTTTTATGTTATTTATTAAAGCTTTTCAGCACGACTCACCTTGCACACCAGTCAATTCCAACTCCACTACGAACTACTTCCTGCAGGCTTTTCACAATAGAACCACGTTAAGTCTCCATCAGCATAACGTCTCCATATTAACTAACCACGTTAAATCTAACTGTGCACGTCACTGAAGAGGTGTTTACTACATTCAGCGACGGCAAAAACGGGATGTTTTCTTAAACATCAGTCAATATAAGCAGCAGAATCACCACCCGCAGCTGCAACTAGCTGCTCCAAACATTAGCATGCTAACGCACATAGCGGTGCAGCAAGGAAAAATGTCCCCCGGGCAACAACAGTTCACTGGCGGCTGCGACGAAACGTTCCGCTATTTAAACCGGAATGTCCGGTATTCAAAAAATTCATATCATAACAAAAATAAAAACCGGTATTAGGTACAAAACGGTATACCGCCCAGCACTAGTCATAATTATTCCAGCAGAACTGAGATACTTGTCACAGTTAAACGCCCAGTCTGACATCATAATATTTTTATGTTTGTGCAGCGCGTCACCCTGGTGTCTGACCCCTGCTCCCTGCTGATCGATGGCGTGACCGTCGGCTTGACGTCCACGGACATCCTGTTCCACATGGGTGCAGAGGAGATCAGCTGGTGAGGAAGACGCTTATAGATCAGTAGAATTCAGATTTTGGACGCAGTTGTTTTTGGTAGACTTGATCATTTTGTATAAACTTAGAAAACGTAAGGAAATGTGTGTTTGGTAGATTGTTTCTTTGTAACAATGCTTCTTAGCAAGAGCTCTTATACTGCTGGAAAGCCTGTTAATTTCTCTTTTAAATGGTGCCACATTTGTAAGGAACATGCATTTGTGAGATGAGCAGTAGAGCGGAGTGTGTGGGTTGTTTTAAATCTTCTCAGTTTGTTTTGCTGCTTCTGACACTTGTTTTGAGGTTCTGGTACCTCCAGGTGCTGCCAGTCATAAGATTTATTGAAATTAAGCATTTTTTTGCAATAAAAGAATCTACCAAACTAAATAGTTTGTTAATATTTAAATATGAATTACATTTTTCAAGTACTTCCCAGCACTTCATGGAGGTGAAACTGAAAAGGTTTTGTGTTGCAGCGGCACCAGCTCGGACAGATTCTCACGCATCCTGAAGCACATACTGACCCAGAGGAGGTAAAAACCCTAAAACCGTTCAGATATGTATATTTTAAATGGAGGTGTGTGGTTTTATCCCTCCTACTTGTCTGACTTTACTTGCAGTTACTACCCTCTGTACCCGCCAGCGGAGGAGCTGAACATGGATTATGAGAAATTCCAGCGCTTCGGACAGATGTCGTTCACTCCTGACGTCCTCATCGTTCCTTCTGAACTGCGTTACTTTGTAAAGGTACGGAACATTACATAATTTAATAAAAAAAATTAATAAATGATTCTTTAAATATCTTTAAATGTTAAAATATTTTTAAAAAATCCCTTCCCTCCGTCCTCAGGATGTGGTCGGCTGTGTGTGCCTGAACCCCGGGCGGCTGACTAAAGGTCAGGTGGGCGGGACTTTCGGACGGCTGCTCATCCGTCGCGGCGCCGCCTCAGGGGACGGACAGAGAGCGAGTCCTTGTTTGGCTGCTCAGGTGGTGAAAATCTGACACCAAGAAAAGATTTAGAGGTGATCTGCGACCACTTTCTGTTTTCTTTGCTCACGCCGATGAAAAGTCTAGAAAAACATCACTCTGTTCCCTTTAAACTATAATATAGGTTTATTTTTATATTCCACATGTTTGGGTGAGCACTGTTCTCCGATGGGCTGTCAATCACTGCAACAGCAACAATAATAAATTATGATCGGAGCAGGTTTTTTTGTTCAGTTTCGCGTTTATTTTATTCAACTAAAGTTTTTCTCACCTTTTTTTCTGATTTCTCCTGTATGATAATTTGACAGGAATAAAAAAAATTGTACAAATGATGCAACATTCTTTATTTTTTTCTAACTTTGTGCATTTCTCGTGTTCCAGGCTCAAACATTTAGTCGTAAAAATGATCAAACTCATCAGAGTCGCTTTTATCGCCTGTCTTTGATTTCTCCTTCGCCGCTTGAAAGATGTCCATGTTGTGATAAATCACTGTCAAATAAATTAGAACAATGTTCAGAATCAAAATGTACAAATAACATTTTTATGATATTTATGATTTTGTACCTTTAGGCTCCTCGTTGGCTTTTAAATCCATTTCTCTAAAAAGTCAAATGAAGGTGATGAGAATCATTTTTTAATTTCTGTATTCCTGTTGGTGTGAGAATACTCACTCTGTTTGCTCCTGAGGCACGAGGAGATTCTCGATATCTTCATCGCTGATTTCTTTTGAGGATTGACTTTTGTTCTCCTCATCTTCAGCTGCTTCAGAAATAACCTGGATCTGTTCAGGCCTGAAAGAAAATGCGCGTCATTCAGATGACATCGTTCATTAAGATGGTTAATTCTCGTACCTTTTATTCTGCGGAGAGATGATGACGTCCTCTGAGTCTCCGCTCTCCTCTCCTGTTTCTTCACCCTGGTCTTCATCGTGTGACCCCTCCTCTTCCTCGCTGCTTTCATCCTCTTCTTCCAGTGAGGAGGCAGAACCTTGCCTTTTCTCCTCTACCTTGTCCTCCATCCTAACCTCTTCCTCTGTTCTTCCAGTTAAAGAAACCTCTTTATCTTCCTCTTCATCACTGCCTTGTTCCTCACTCTGGCTGTTTTCGGTTTCCTCTTGTTCTGCAGCTCCAGGGTTTTTCAGTCCATCCTTTTCTTTAACGCTGCTTTGCTCCTGATCATCTGTTTCCTCTGCAGCTCTGGTTGTGTTTTTTCCGTCGCTCCTTCCTGATTCCCGCTCTGAGCCGCAGCTCTCTGATTCGTCAGCGTGACTTTGCTCTTTGGCCTCTTCCTCGGACCGAAGGGGAGCATCAGGAGCGGCGTTGCCTTTCTCAGAGGAGGTGTCGCTTTCTGAGCTTTGTGGTCGTAAAAATGAGGCAGAGGAACGGTTAGAAAGTGTACGACCAAAGTTTACTTTCTCTGCTCAGGATCATAAATTGTGGACACTTGTGTGACTCTTACCTTTGAGAGGCGTGGCTTGCTGAATCTGAGGATGACTGCTGGTTTCTTCCTCTCTTCTCGTTCTTCGTCTTTTCTCTGCAGACCAGACTTGAGTCTCTGTCACTCTTGCTGCTCTCTGCATCACGGCTGAGCAGACGAACTGCGCGCAGATTGATAACAAGCACTTAAATAATACATTTATGCTGACGATGCAAGTTTTTAAAAATGTTTTTCTCACCTGGTTTAATGTCGAGATCAGGAGACGGAGAGCTCCCGTTTCCCTCTTCATGCTCTCTGTTGGATTTTGGTACTCCACTCGTCTCCTCCTGCTCCTCTCCGGTTTGTGGGACCCTCAACGCAGGAGGTTCCTCTGGGGGGATCCCAGCAGCACAGGGCTCGGGGTCCTCGCCTGCGTCGTCCTGCCTGGACCGCGGCTGCTGGTGGCTGGGCGTGAAGGTGAAGTGTTGTGGCAGAAACAAGTGAGGGTGTAAGAAGGTGTGTGGAGGGGAAAGAAGTGGATTGTGGGATTGATGAGATGCTCTCAGGAAACTGGAGGTCAACCAGGAAGGCTGAGCGTAGGGATGATAGGAGGAATTATCTTGGTTGTAATTAGAGTTTTCTTGAGTGGAACACGCTTGAGGAGCGACAGATTTCTGAACTGAAGGACCTGCGAGTGATGAGAGACGGTTGAGGTGGAAACACGTACGGCTGGAGCACGAAATTAAAAAGATGAGGGCAGAGGTGTCCAAACATTTTGTCACATGGGTCAAAATCATAAAGTCAGAAGGACTTGAGGGCCAAAAATATTTTTCCTTTACCTGCTCAACAATAAACTAAAATAGTCAGATTTATTGCTGTAAATGGATGCGTAAATTAATCTAGAACCAGAAGTTTAAAAGTGTTTTGCAGGTTCAATTTTCTAGGTTTCCATTGGGGAATAAAGAACCCACTTTTGTCAATTCTGATCAGTAAAATCAGGATGTAGGTCGCAAATACTTTCTGTATTCAAATGAATTTAATAAATGAATTAAAAGCAGATTGAAGTGCAGCAAAATCAGCTTTTGAGTAGAAGTCACTAAATAGATGTGGAAAAAGCTAAGAGTCTGGTTATTTAAAGACAAATAATTGTTATTGCCAATATTTTTTATTGTAAGATTTTTACTTTGTGATAAATTTGCCCTAATTATTAAAAATAGAAAGTCTCCATATACACCTGTGCCGGGGGGACAAATTTGTAAACAAATCAGTATAATTCTTCAGGGGCAACACTTTGGACACCGCTGGATTAGGGGCATTTAATGCAAAAGATGCAGTGTTTTTGCTGAGGAGGCAGAAACTAAAATGTTAAAGCTAAAATGAGCCAAACATAAAATAAAAGCTAAAAGTAATGAAACAGTCAAAACTCCAAGGTAGAAAAATGCTAGCTATTAGATTCAAAAGGCTATCTACAAGCTAACTATAGCAGAACAGTAGCAAAGGAATTCCAAGATGACAATGATTTTGAAGGAATTAAAGTATTAAGAGTTACAACAACCAAAAGTTTAGTTTATTCATTTCATTTAAAAACAAATAAATTTTTATACACAACAAAAAATATACAAATTTAAATGAAAAGGAGGCAGAAAGAAGAAAAAATCTCATATTTGCCCCTTTTTTCTATAACTAATTTCAAGCAATAATAATCAAGAAACAAAACAAAGTAAAAGCTTCAATTCCTTCTCAAACAACAACTTTTGATATACATTATACAATTTAATTTCTCTTTAACAAACTTATTTTTAGCATTCTCATAAAGAAATAGGTTGAACCGGCATTTTTATAATCACTTTCCAGATTATTTCACAATCTTATTCCTTGAACTGAAGTACATCGGTCCTTCAAGTTTGTTTGAATTTTAGGTTTTATAAACATCTCAACTCCTCAACTGGATGTTTAAAGTTAAACATTTTTATGAGCCTTATGCATAATCTGCAAAATATTATAATCAACCAACTCAAAATTTTAATTACTTCAATTTACAAAATAACATTCGAAAAGTCATAGTACCCTCTCATGAATGAGCTGAACCTTTTATAAATATGAATAGTTAAATTAGCCCAATAAGTTGTTAGATTGTCAAAAAAACAAGCAGTAAAAGAACTACATGAATGCTGAATTACATTAACAAAATGTGGAAAAAAAGAAACAAACCTTGTGAAAGCAAAGATGTGTCCACTGTACACGCCAACGCCTGCTTTTCTTCTGTTTTCCTCAGATAAGAGCTCACGCTGTCGACCGTCCTCTGTTGAGGAATAACAGGACTGTAGCCACGTTTTTTCCTCTAACAAAGGAACATATTGTTTCCACATACAGCTCTGTGGTTGTACCTTGATTTGAGCGGCCTGTGTTTGCTGTTGGAGTTGCTGCTGCCAGCGGGAGGAGTTGTCCTCCACATATCTCTCATACTCCCTCTGCAGAATGTCAAAGTGTTGCAACATCAGAGCCTCACAGAGAGAAGGCTGTCAAAACCACCAAATACGCTTTTTCTAACATAAAAAAAAAACGTTCAGTCTGTTGTGTTTGTTTGTGTTTTCTGTATTTGTTCACCCTGATAGTTTTCATGGCAGCCGTGCGGGCCAGCATCTCCTTCAGGGCGTCCTGGGCTTCCTCAAACTGCTGCAGCAGCTGTGAGTTGTGCTCTTGAGCTCGGCGTTCTCTGTCCTTCAGCTCCTGCAAATACAGCTGAAGGTGCGACGCTCTGCTTCGGAACATGAAGAGATGAGAGCATGAACAAAACAAGCTCCTTTACTCCACATATCACAGAAACCATATTATTGTAGTTGTAAAGTTAAGAGTATTTTGCCTTCAGTAAAATACGTTCTGTAATGTCTTAACATCACACTTCAAGTATCTTACCTCCTCTTTACATCGTGTTGTTGTTTTGTGAAAGTATTCTTGTTTTGGGTCCGATGCCTAAGAGACAGTAAAATATCTGCTGGTGCAGCCATGACTACCAGCTTTCTTTGGATGAAGAGATTATCAGGGATTAAAGCACACTCTTTAGGAGGGGGAGGGACTACACATATCAAAATAGGTACAGTGTCAACTTTTTTACTTTCACAATGAAGTAATTATTTACATGCACACAAAAGTTATGATAGTAATAATCACAAAATGTTCATATCTGACAATGATTTTGAATGAACTTAAGTATTAAGAGTTACAACAAGAATTGAAGTATTAAGAGTTATATTTATATTAGAGTGTAAAATTTAATCCAGTGTGATAAACACAAGTCGATAATAAATCTTTTAATTTAGAGTTTTATACGAACAACAGTGTATGGCATAACTGACTTGTAAATGACTTCTCTTTATGATCAAAATCATAAACAAGTGTCAAAATCTGTGGCATAATGTCAAGTTTTGTTACTATTTTGGCTTTCAGACAATTAACCCTGAAAATTTATTAAAAAAATATATTCTTTATTGTTTATATTTATTAATTTAGGTTGTGTTTAAAAATGAAAACGTAAAGTAATTATCATTTAACGTTTGAGACAAAGCAGGTCATTTGAAAGTGGCTATACTAAATTAGCACAAAAAAAATGCAAGTCCAAGGAAGTGATCTGTATTTTTAAAGCCATTTCAGAGGCGGAACTACATTGTCTTGTTGCACTCCGGTTGTATTATCATGCAACACTGAATCACGGACGTGATTTCTGAATCGCTGCTGCTGAATGGAAGTCTAAATTATTTCTTTTAGAAAGAAACATCGTTGTATTCAATGTTTTAGGTACAATAATTTATCCGGAGGATGTGCGAAGTGTTATAGTTTTCATAAATTGTTTTAGAGTCGCGCGGGAAGCCAACTGTTTTATTATTAGCAAGCTAACCAGCTAGCTGTGCGTCTGTAAAACCATTCCTTCGTCTTTTACACTGAGGAGGTGGACGAGCTGGAGACATGACGGGTTTCACCAGCACGTTGCTCCGCAGGGCTGAGAGGGTTTGTCAACACCTGCCCGTGTTCCTCAACACCTTCCTGGTCTTCTCCATCACCGGGGAGGTGAGCTACCTGGTGCTGGTCGAGGCGCCTCTCGAGGCGGAGCAGAAAGCGGCAGAGTGGTCCGTCTGGTGGAAGACGGTGCACCTGTTGGCCCAGTTCTTCATGCTGGGGAACATCTGCTGGAACGCGCTTCTCTTTTTGAAAACCAACCCCAGCGTCAAGGGGGTGTTCTTGGGAGGAGATGGCCTGGGGCAGGGGTGGAGGTAAAGAAACGGTGTCATTATAGCTTACTTTGGTTCATTTACACCTAGTTTGATATTTGCTGTACAACTTGTCATTACCACTTTCTAATCATGTCCATCCAGAGGTGTTTATTTTATTGTAACTTAAAATATATTTCCTGGACTGTGTCAAAATGTGTAGGGTTCCTAAAGAAC